TGGCAATTATTTGCTGATCTTAATTTTTTAAAGGTTTAAAAAATTAAAAATTAAACAGTATTCCATACAGGGAAGAATAAGAGATTTGTAGATGTAGAGAATGGAAGCAGGAAAGAAAAAGATGGGTACAATAAAAAGAAGCAACTTTAGCAGATGCTAATTTACCAATCGATTATATATATTGTTTCCATGAAAGGTCAGTAGTAAATGATAATCAAAGAAGACATAAAGAAGAAGACCCAGTGAGAAGGTTGCTATTCATTAATAAAGGAATGTTGACAGTACTGCGATAGTTGTTTGCAGTAAATAACTTAGTTTTGTTGGAGTTAAAATTTACATAGTAAAAAAATTTGTGTAATGTACAAAAATTTTGCACATGTTAAATAGAAAAGTATAAGTTAATGTTTCAATGTTTTAAAATTTTGAAAATTAAAAAAATCAATTATTGTTTAAAAATATGTTCAAATAATCTTCTTTTATAAATAAAAATGTGTTCTTTCTATAAATAAAAATGTGTTATTAAACATTAGCTTGCATTTTTGTATGAAAATGGAGTCAAGGAAGGGAACTCCATTTTTCAAAACCTTTATAAATAATTTTGGTTTTATGACAGAAATGTCTTCAGAGACACAAAGAATCATAGTGAATTAAAGAGGTGATTAAAATTCTAAAAGAAAAGAGAAGTTTTTACAAAATGCAGAAAACGTCTTAGAATAAAAGACTCTAAATATTCCTGGGCTAAGTGCAAAGCAAAATAAATTGTTTACTAAATCAAATGAGCAGAAGTTTTTTGACAAAAAGCTCTCTCTAAAGAGTTCAGTGTGAGTTTACCATGTTCTACTCTATACAAATCAAAATGGGACATTATCTGTATTGATTTTTGATTTACTATACCACTGAAAACATTCTTAAAAGAATTGAGTTCTTTACTTTTCTTTAAATATAGTTCTTATGATGCCATCTCTGAAACTTTTTTTACCAGGTTGAACTTTTAACTAAATTTCTTTATTGGAGACATAGAGGCTTTGCAGAAAAAGTAAAAGTGTAGTAGTTTTCCAGTCAATAATTTTGATGTAGTCTGTTGCAAGATTATTATTTTTTGAATTTACTAAACTTAACTTACTAACTCTTGAAAAGCTAAGGTTCTGTTTTCTACTATTATTGTTGAAAACAAGTTTTTCATATGAGATAAAAGTAGATTCTTTCAATGACTTTTAACAAATTATTGAACAGGAATCTTGGCAACTTTATCAATTAAAATACATGTTTTGCTCCATTTGTAAAGTATTTATTTATTTTTAAATTTTGCGGTCATTCTTTTGAATCTCACTTCATTGACAAATTTTATCAATAGGATTTTTCATTTATGTGCATTTTTCTTTCAAATTAGGTGAAACATAAATAAAGCAAGAAATATTTTTGATAACTGTAAAAATGCAAAATTTTTGAATTCTGTCATTTAAGATGTTCAAAAATCTTCTTATCTTGCTCAGATCTAATAGGTTTTAATTTTATTATTTTTGGTAACTGGAATGTATAAATTTTCACTCTGTATAGGTGGCTACTTTAGTCAATATAACCAAAATATGTTAAAAAATACCATAAAATACTTTTCTATAGTTCACCAGTATATAGGAAAATTATGTCAAATACAACTTCTCAAAATGAACTACATATATATGAAAATGATTAACTTTCTACAAAATGAAGTGAGAAGCAATTATTATATTTATGTTTATATAAATTATTCACACACTAGCAAGATGCATCTGATGTATGCAAACAACATTTTAATGCATTTCTAACTAAATAAATGGTTTTCAAATACAATTTGTTGTTCCTTTATTTACCAGCAATGCAAATTAAAATGTTGGTTTTAGTTACTTGTTCTAAAAACTATCCTAGATATCTTAGTGTAAAATAATATTCCATATTATAACTTAAGTTACCTAAAATAACTGAAAAGTATTAGCTTTTTGTTATTTTTTTATTACCTTGGTTATATCGAGTTACATCAAGTAACTTAGAAGTTAACTTTCACAGTTACGCAATAACTCAGTGTTGTTCCTAAACTAAATAATAACCAATGTGATTATCTACAGCATTATAATATATTTTGAACACTTATATTATAATGCTGTAGATAATCACATTGGTTATTACTTTGATATTATTTTGTCCATTTTGTAAAAATAAACCATGACAACTGTTTATATAAACATTTAAAAATAGAGGTTATTTAAAAATAGAGGTTATTTAAAAATTTAGATTATCCTGAAGATTGCGCTTCATAATAATTTTTAGTTATCTTTATGTAGGCTTCAAAGTTTGCAAGAGTTTTGGTAAATCTTGGAGTTAGGAAAGGAGACAGAGTTTTGATATATATGCCAATGATACCTCAGGTTACTATGATTTTTTTAGAAAAATAGATTAAAAGTATATATATATATATATAGTATATATATATATATATAGTATATAGTATATATATAGTAGTATATATATATATAGTATATATATATATATATATATATATATATATATATATATATATATATAGTATATATAGTATATATATACTATATATATAATATATACATATATATATATTATATAGTATATAGTTATAGTATATGTAGTAAGTATATTATATAGTATATATATATAGATATATAGTAAATAGTATATATAATAGTATATATATATATATATATATGATATATTATAGTATATATATATATATATATATATATGATGTATAGTATATATATAATTATATGTATATATTATATATTATATAAATTATATATAAAGTATAAATATAATTATATTATATATATAACTATATTTATATATATATTATACTTTATATATATATGCTATATACTATATGCTATATATATACGAATATAACATAAATATATAGGTGTATATATATGTATATATATATATCATGTATATATATGTATATATGATATATCTATATATATATATACTATAATGATATATATATATTTGCTATATACTATATGTATATATATATGTATATCTCTATATTATGTATATATCTTATATATATTTATATAAATATATATATGTATATAAATATGTATATACTATATATATATATATACTATATCATATATATACTATATATATATATATGTATATATATATATGTATATATACTATAAATGTCTTTATATATATATAAATGTGTGTGTGTATATATATATATCTATATATATATATATACTATATATATATATATATAACTATATATATACTATATATATCTATATATATAAATATATACTATATATACTATAGATATATATAGATATACTATATATAATATATATAATATATAAAAATATACTAATATATATACTATAAACTATATAAGCATTTGCTCACTTTTTTCTGCTTACCTTAAGCTACACCCGTTTTTTTCGAAAAAGAAGAAGAAAAAATGAAGAATGATGAATAAAACGATTGCTTCCCCATCCCAAACCCTCAGTCGATGTAGCAGCACTCCACTACGAGTCAGGCTATTTGTCAGTTGATGTATGTACTGAAGCCCCCAGCAGCAGGCTATTTCAGTATGACGTCAGATTGCTTACCTTAGTACGCAATACTATTTGTATATATATATATATATACTACATATATATATATATATATATATATATATATTATATATATATTATATATATATATATACTATATATATATATTATATATATATATATATATATACAAAATAGTATTGCGTACTAAGGTAAGCAATCTGACGTCATACTGAAATAGCCTGCTGCTGGGGGCTTCAGTACATACATCTTTTTATTATTATCTTGATATTATTACAACTGATAGTATTGCAATGTTTTATGCTTCATGTCTTGATAAAGACATAAAGATTCTTTTATTTTACAAAATCATTTTCTACAAAAGTCATTTTCCACAAAAAATTGAAATTGTATATTAATAAGAAAATCATCTTTTTTAAACTTAACCTTTTATTCATAGGAATTTAATCTAGTTATACAAAAATTTAAATTTAAAAAATTGCTTATAAATATTGCAAAGATGTTCTAATAAAATTAATGTTTACTAATAAAATACAAAATTTTAAATTTATAAGATTTATTTCCTAACCTACTTAAATCTCATGTTGTCTATAAACTTTCTTGTGCTGACTGTATTTCCAGTTATATAATGGAGAAACTTCCAGACATTTGGCAAATATGATAAATGAGTACTTTATTAATGATAAACAATCTTATGTATATAAACATTTAAATACATCAGTTGATTGCAAATATCTTGATTGCAAATGTCTTTTTGTGGTTTTGGATACTGTTACAACCAAATATAACAGAAGACATAAAGGTAAAAGAAATGGTCCACATTAAATTGGAAGATTCCTCACTAAGTAAGCAAAATTCTCATTATATTATTAACCAAGTTATTCAGTTATTAGTCATTGTTTTAAGATAGATTGTAATAGACTTGTTAGATTTTCACATGTTCAAAAAGCAATTTTTGAATATGCAAAACTGTCAACTGTTTTCTTGCTCTTTAACACTATTCTTTATTTTCTAGTAGTTTCCAGCTTAATATATTTGCTTGCAAATATATTAAGCTGGAAACTTTTTTGTCTTAATTGGATAGAGGGTCCAAGAAATTTATTTTAAAATTTGAAATCAGTTTAAAACTAGTTAATAAGCTTTTATTTGATGATACTTAATAAGTTTCTTTTTTTTGGATGATGTTAAATTAAATATGCAAGTTTTTCAAAACTCATCACTTTATCAAATAAAAATTTTATAGGATATGAGAAGGTTGGTAATATAGAGATTTGTTTATTTAATGAAAAAAAATATTTTGTTTTAAAGAAGTTTAGGTCAAGCTAAAATGATTTTATGTATTGATAAATATAATTTGTAATGCCATCTTTACCATTTACATTTTTATACTAAATTAAAAATTGCTGCATTTACAAAAGGTAAACAAGTGTTAGGTTTTTACACAAGGTTTTTTACAGAAGTAGATCAAAAAGTAAAAAATGTTAAACAAGTGTAAAACCCGTAATAATACAAAAATTGAGTTTCATGAAAGTTTCAACCCTACTTTAAATACAGAAGCATCCACAGATAGATTATTCAAGATTTTTTTTTTCTAAACAGTATTTACCCAAGTCCAAGTCAGTATAACTGTATAAGTTATTAAAAAAAAAAACAACCATTGGTATGAAAAAACAATATTCTTTGGTTACCTTTAATGTTCACTTATTATAAGTTATTAAAAAAACAACCATTTTAATGTTCACTTATTATAAGTTATTAAAAAAACAACCATTTTAATGTTCACTTATTATAAGTTATTAAAAAAACAACCATTTTAATGTTCACTTATTATAAGTTATTAAAAAAACAACCATTTTAATGTTCACTTATTATAAGTTATTAAAAAAACAACCATTTTAATGTTCACTTATTATAAGTTATTAAAAAAACAACCATTTTAATGTTCACTTATTATAAGTTATTAAAAAAACAACCATTTTAATGTTCACTTATTATAAGTTATTAAAAAAACAACCATTTTAATGTTCACTTATTATAAGTTATTAAAAAAAACAACCATTTTAATGTTCACTTATTATAAGTTATTAAAAAAACAACCATTTTAATGTTCACTTATTATAAGTTATTAAAAAAAACAACCATTTTAATGTTCACTTATTATAAGTTATTAAAAAAAAGTTATTAAAAAAACCAACATTTTAATGTTCACTTATTATAAGTTATTAAAAAAAACAACCATTTTAATGTTCACTTATTATAAGTTATTAAAAAAAAGTTATTAAAAAAACCAACATTTTAATGTTCACTTATTATAAGTTATTAAAAAAACAATATTCTTTGGCAACCATTTTAATGTTCACTTATTGCGTAGAAAAAAAATCAGAGTACTTCTTAAAATTTTAGACTAATGAAAAGTAAATGTAAAAAAACAAACTCTTCTAAAAAACTGGAAAAACCTTTGATATTAGTCTTGTGATCTAAATATTGTTCTCTCTTGTGATCTAAATGTTGTTCTCTCTTTTCTGTGATTTTTTTTGACAAAAATCAAACATTGGTGATACATTAAGTAAATAGTTGTTAGTTCTATGAAGGCAATTTAAGATAATTTTAATTTAAGTATTTTGACAATGACCAATGCCGTTATAAGTTGTAACGGTATTGGTCACTGTGAAGTGATGATATGACAGACACTGATGTAGTGATGGCAGACACTGATATAGTGATGATAGACACTGATATAATGATGACAGACACTGATGTAAAGATAATAGACACTGATGTAATGATGATAGACACTGATGTAGTGATGATAGACACTGATGTAATGATGATATTCACTGATCTAGTGACAATTTTTTTATTTACTTTTAATAAGTTATTTTATTAGTTATTGTTCTGTGTTGTTTTAGAGACATTCATTTTTAGGGAGTGTGGAAATAATAATACAGTTTAAGCATATCTATAAATTGTGATTTGAGAAGCTTTATAATGAGATATGACTATTTTATTAATATTATTATTATTATTATTATTATTACTTTATTATTATTATTATTATTATTATTATTATTATTATTATTATTATTATTACTAGCTGAGATCGGACCCGTAAAAATACGGGTCTTTGTAAGTCTATTCCAAACCGAACTTTTTAATACATTTTCCTTATATATCCTAGCTTTTCGAATTTATTTTTCAAAAAGTAGAAGAGATCTTCAGTTCTTTAGGATGACGATTTTCATTAAACTTATTGAGCTATATAGATTTTTTATATAACATGATTTTTTGAGGAAAAATTTAGATCATTTTTATTTTCTTCAATTGTGAAATTTAGCGTTGAGTAATTTATGGACGATCCTTTATTTTAATGTTTAAATAAAGGATAAACCAAAAAGTATATAAAGCCAAAAAATAATAGAGTATAATACTTTTTTGATGGTTATCTAAATTATGTCGTTATTGCGCACTTGGTTTTGTATGTTTAACAGGGACGTAGATTAATAGCTGTAAACTCTAAATTTCCTTATTGTATCAATATTAAATATAAAAGTTTAAAACTTTTATATTTTAAAAACTTTAACTTTTAATTATTTTTAAAAGTAATCAGTATAATAAAATTCATTTAAATATAATTTTAAAATTTTTTAAATTATGATTTTATAAAAAACATACTTTTTTAACCCCCGTACTGTTTTGAAAAACTTAGGGTCAATATTATATACTATAATAAACGAAAGGTAGAGAATTTTTTAAAAACCTTTTTAAAAAATTCTCTTCCTTTCTTATATATTTCTTATATTATAGTATATAATATCTTGATATATGTTATGCATATATCTATAGGCCTTCAAAAATGTTTAATTTTGTATTCTAGAAAATTGGAAAAGATTTTTTAAAAATTAAGTGTAAACGAAAGGATTTGAACCCATGCAAAGCACTTTAACCACTTTGGCATGTTTTAAAGGAATAAAAAATCTGTATTGTATTAATGTATTGACTGGAAATCAATTTATTTATACATAATAACAAAACAAAATATATAAAGAAATGTATGTTTACAAAAAAAATTCAACTAAGTTTGCATTGTCAATAAAAGATTGGTAGGTTAACTAATATTTGGTTTAATTTGTAGAATTACCAACTACATAAATACTAATTATTGGCGCAGCATTTTTTGTATCTACTACTCACTCTCCTCCTTAACATTTATATTTATATAAAAAGGTGGGGGATGCTTTTGCCCTAAATTTGAACCCACACCTTGAGAGGATATGGGACCTCTATTCGTTCTGCAAAATGCTATAAAAGCATTGTAAGATGTCTTTAATGAAACAAAATTAAATTAAATTATAACATGAAAAAAGTAAAAAAGGTAAAATAACACTGTAAAACAATTATAACATGAAAAAAGTAAAAAAGGTAAAATAACACTGTAAAACAATTATAAAATTATTTTTTCTGTTACACATAATTACTTTATGTGTAACAGAAAAAATTTCAAAAGTTTTTAAAGTCTGTATATATAATAGTCTGCGGAGCATCAAAGTAAAACTAAAGAAAAAGAACAACAACTAAATTTAAAATGTTTTTAATGCATAATACTACTTGCAGTTAAAAACATAAAAAATAACTCTACCCTCACAAGATAATGAAAGTAAAGTTGTCAAATTGAACAAAAAAAAAAAATTTATTAAAATGTTAATTTTTCTTAAGTATGATCCGTTTAATTAAAAACAATAGTATTTTCTTGAACAGATAAGGACACATCGATAAAGACCATTTCTTTCATTTTAGGTTCATTAAATTTTTTAAAGGTCATTAAATTTCTTTCATATTGCAAGTACTTAATAGACCTATGAATACCTGCGATAACTGGTGATTATGAAAATTAATAAAGTATTCATAAAATTTTTAATAAAAATATATTATTTTGACATGGAGAATCATAAACACTGTCACAGCAGCTTTTTAATCATTCTAATATTTTGCATGTTCTGTTGACTTAAATTTTGATGGTGTTTAGTGTAAAAACAAAATGTACAACTTTCAACAATTTTTTTTTGTAAACATAACTCAATTTTTAACTAAATTAATATTAAAAGAAAAAAAAATTTGTATTTTTGGAAAAATATATTTATTAACAAACAAAACTTAAAAAATAGATCAATAAAAATATACATATAAAACTATATCATTTAAATACCTCTTTTATTTGTAGATATAGTTATGTATTTTTCACTACCCACTCTAACATCTCAAACTGCACTTTTGGTAAGGGTAATTCCTTCCCTTTAATAAATAGAGGGGAAATTTTCACTGCCTATTCTAGATATAAGACTTTATTTAGAATTTGACTTTTGTGCCCTTCCACTTTGAAATCCATGTCATTTTGCAGAAAAATACAAACTGCAATTTCACAACAAAATAGAAAATCAAACACATTTTATTTAAATGTATAACTTCATTACATTAAAATAAATACAAACTTTAAAACTTAAGATAAAGATATATTCAAATTTAAAACTTACAATATATGATAAGCTATGGCACTAAAATTAAAAGAACAATTAAATTAATATTGTTATTTACTAATTAAATAATTAGTAACTAAATAAAAAAAAAAAAAAACATTTATTTTTTTAAGAAGTAAATTTGAAAGATTCTTTAAAAGTAAATTTAACTTAATAAAATCTAACCTGAATATCACCACCAGACAATAACACTTTACTAAATAATTAGATTCATGTAAAGTATGATTATCTATGATTATCTATTATACGATGACTATCTAACAAAAAAAGCAATAAAAAATAAAAAACAACCTACTTATATCTAAAATAAGGTCATCTCCAGCTTCTCTAAAATTAACAACTTGTCGAGAAACAATATTAACACATTATCTTTAAAAACAGAACATGTTTCATTAACTAAAACATTAAAAAGTCAAACTTTAGTAGCTATAAAAAGAGATTAAAAAATTACAAAATACAATTACAAAATACAATTATAAAAAAAATTTATAAATGAAAGTATATTCAATAATTATAATTTTTACGATGATTAAAGAGATATTCAAAGATATTTAGAGATTAATGAAAGTTAAAGAAAGGAATTTAAATACTCGTGCATCACATGTTAATTATGTCATCAAAGTTATTGATATGCTCTCCGTTTAGAATGTTTAACAGAGGGGTTGTTAAATAACTGTAAATGTCTAACTTTTTCTTATTATGTTAATATTAAATAGTTTTAACTTTTAATTATTTTTATAAACAAAAAAATTTTATAAAATAATTTTATAAAATAATTTAGTTTAAATAAAATATTAAAATTTTTAATTATGTTCTTAATAAAAAAACTTAACTTTTTAAACCCCCTTACCGTTTTAAAAAAGTTAAAGTCGCCACGTGGCAAGTTCATCAGCTTGTTTGTTTTTTTGTTAAAATGCAAATTAAAAAAATTTTATAGTTCTATAGATTTTATATTCTATATATAAACATGTTGTTTACTAATTTTCCTTGCACAAACTCAACTTAGTTTTAAACAAACTTGAAATATTAAACTAAAATAACATAATCTCAATAATGACACATACACAAAAAAATTAAAAAAGTCGTCGGTAGTAGGACTCAAACCACAGCTTTCTTGTTCAGAAGCTCAGCGCGCTAACCACTCAACTATGCAGGCACGTTGTCAATCAAAATTTGTTGATTGAAAACTATACAAAAATTGTTTTTACGGATATAGATACTAAAGATCAGAAATTAAGAAGAGGCAATGGAGTTTTTAAGTGAAAATCAAACTATAAAACTTGATATATGTTTAAGCATGTTTTAACATTACATAACATGAAGTTTACGTATGTGCGATATAAGTTTCATGTTTGCTCAGGTTTTCTTATAAGGCAAAGGTGAGAGTCTTTCTTGCCAATACCTCGGTTGCAATGGCTGGCAAGAGTTTCGTGTCAAATATGCTCCAGGGGACACTATTAAAACTATTAAGTTCAGCAATAATATATAATAGATAATTATTATTATTTGAATGATGATAATAAAAATCTTTTTTTATCTATTTTCTTTATTTTATAAACTATTTTTATTGTTTTTTATTTCCTCTAAAAGATAGATAAAAATTACAATTTAGGATATTTAGCTATTATTAATTAATATATAAACATAATTTAAGCATGTATTGTATTGCATATGACATTTAGTTGTGTATTAGTAAATAATCTAACATATGTTTCACATATTACAATTAATATAAAAATAAATACTAAGTAATAAATATAGTAAATACTATAATAATAATAATAATAATAATAATAATAATAATGATAATAATGATGATGATAATAATAATAATAATACTTCCACTATAATTAATAATATAAAAATTAGTAGCAACTGTCTTTCTCTGCGCAATACACATCAAAAATAAAAATGAAATGTCTAATTTAGGTGAAATATTATTACTCACCACTAAAAACCATGATTATATAAGTTTAAAAAAATTTTGTTTGTTTAATTTTTAATTTGTTACTGCTTTGTATTGTTTTCTTTTAATTCACGGTTTTTAGAGACACTGTAAGTGTCTATATACTGATTTTTAGGGGCGTTAGGGATGTTTAGAGTGTACATACATGTATTACATAGTCTTGATCATAGTAATAGTCTTTTACATTTTTAATGTTAACACATTTTAGTCTTTGATTGCAATGCATGGTTGTTCTCGTATTGGAGCTGTTCATGTGACTGTATTTGGTGGTTTTGCTCCTAATGAGTTAGCGAGAAGAATTGACGATGCCAAGGTAGATATAATATATAAATAAGAAATAATTTTATTTTATAAAATAATTTAAATATAAAAAAATATAAAATAAAATATTTTTTTTTTATTTGTTTTTGTTTAAGAATTTTTTAAATACTTTCGGTATTTTTACATTTTATCATTTAAAATAAATTCATTCAAAAATCTAAAATCATTTAAAATAAATTCATTCAAAACAATTTGTAAATGTTTATTTTTTAAAATATATTTTTTTAAATCTGAGAGACTATATTGTTTAGGTTATATAGGGTGGCCACGCTTCCTAATAAATCCTAAAATATCCTAATATTTGAAAAACCTCCTAAAAAGACCAATATTCTCCTAAAAGCCCTTTGTTACAGCTTAGGGTTTATTAATAGTAATGAGGCAATTGTTTGGGCTAATAAACAGTGTACTGAGTACTATCTATGTTTCGAGTCAAGTTCTATAACAAATTTGAAAATAAATAAAGTAACAAAAACAATAAAACACAAAAAACCACTGTCATCACCAAGTTCGTTAAACCTATCATTCAATAATATTTGTGGTCATCCAAGTAACGTTTCTTCTGTTGAGTCTTATCTCTTGCTAAGTTCACGAGACCTTCTTACTCTTTGTGAGACTAATTAGAGTTCAGCTGTCTCAACTTTTGATATTAGTGTTGATGGTTATCTTCCTTTAATTCGTAAAGACTCCAATAGTCACAGGCTTGGCCTGGGCATTTACATTTGTAAGAATTCACCCATTTGTCAGGAAACTAGGTTTGAATCCACAGACTACTCTTATATGTGCTTTTGTTCAGTGCCACTTCACTCTATCACCTTTTTCTTTGTTCTATATCGCTCTCTGTCATCTCAAGACTGCACTCTTTTCAATGTGCAGGCATTAAAGCCCACAACTTTTTCTCTGCAGGCATTAAAGCCCACAACTTTTGTCTTTCTCAATCCCTAACTCAAATAGTCAACTTTCTAACTTGCTTTCCAGACAACTCGAATCATTTACCTTCACTACTCGACTTATGTCTTGTTTCTGATCCAAGTCAGTGCTCAGTTTCTCCACATACACCCTTAGGTGCCTCTGATCACAGTTTGATCTCTCTAAAACTTATATCATTCTTCTTTATCATCAGATTCCCCCTATCATTGTACATCTTACAACTACTTTAAAGCTGACTGGGACTCTTTCCGTGATTTTCTTTGTGATGGCCATTGGGTAGAAATCTTTCATCTTTCTGTTGACAAATGCTCTCCTTACATAACTTCGTGGATTCAAGCTGGGATGAAATCCTTTATTCCCTTATCAATGATTCCAGGTCAAGCCTCACTATTCTCCATGGTTTTCCTCACATTGTGCTGCTGCAATTGCCAATCGAAACCATTACTTCCATATCTATCAGCTAAACTATTCTCCAGAAAACAGACGTCTGTTTATTACTGCTAAGAACCATTGTAAAAAGGTTTTGTTTAATGCCAAATCCCGCTATTCTCAGATCAAGAAATCTCGTATTTCATCACAAAAATTAGGCTCTTGTGACTTCTGGAGAATCTTTATTAGTATCAATAATAGGCGCAAATCTGTAATTCCACCTCTCTTGTATGGTTCAGACTTTGTCACCTCACCTAAAGACAAAGCTGAATTGTTTGCTAAGAACTTTTCATCAATATCATCATTTGATTCCACTAGTTGTGTTCTACCTGATATAGCTGTCAAACAGGTTGATCCATTGCTTGACATTCGTATCACTTCAGCTTCTGTATCTAAAGTGATTTCCTGCTTAGAAATAGTCTTGCAGAAGTGTTCTCTGGAGCTGTCATCTATACTTTCAAAACTATTTAACAAGAGTCTTGTTTTCCAGCCTGCTGGAAAACAGCATCTGTTATCCCTATTTTCAAAAATTCTGGAGAGTGATCTGATTCGTCTAATTACCGTCCCATTAGTCTTCTTCCTATCATAAGCAAGGTTTTTGAATCTTTAATTAACAAACACTTAATCTCTCATCTTGAATCTAATAACTTACTTTCTGATCATCAATATGGATTTCGATCTTCTTGTTCTACACCTGATTTGCTAACAGTAATAACCGATAGGTTTTATCGTGCATTAGATAAGAGGTTAAGGCCAACATTCTTGACATTTCTAGAGTGTTTGATAAAGTTTGGCATGCATGTATTCTCCATAAGATATCAACTTACAATGCATTCATCCTTAAGATTATTGTAAACATCCTTAAGATTATTGAATTCTTCCTTTCCAATCGTAGTATATAAGTTGTCCTTGATGGACAGCACTCTTCTTCTTATTCTATAATTTCAGAGGTTCCTCAAGGTTCAATCCTTGGCCCTATACTCTTTTTATATTATATTAACGATCTTCCAGATATTCTCACATCTAAGGTGGCATTGTTCGCTGATGATACTACCATTTATTCTTGTCATGGTAGGAGGCCAACTCTCTCTGATTACTTGGAGGGGGCATTTGAGTTTGAAAAGGATCTCACTTCTGCTACAGCATGGGGCTCACAGTGGCTAGTGAACTTTAATTCAGATAAAACTCAATTTTTTTCAGCCAATCATTATCGCAATAATTTAGACCTTCCTATATTTATGAACGGTAATGAACTTTATGAGTTATCTACCCTTCTTCTTCTAGGATTAATTCTTACTTCTGATCTTTCTTGGAAACCATGAATCATATCTGTTGCAAAATTAGCATCAACTTAAGTTGCATATTTTTATCGAGCTCAACACTTTCCTACTCTGGATTTTATTCTCTATCTCTATAAATCTCAAATCCGGCCTTGTAAAATATGGGTCTAGGTAAATCTGTTCCACACTGACCTTTTCTATACTTATTCCTTACTTCAATAGTTTTTAGAAGGAAGAAAAAACTTTTTTAGTGGTAGAAAAATAACTATACACATATAGAAAAACTATATTTACTGTTTACTTTGAAGGTATAATATCGAAAGACCTTTGAAAATGTTTTACTTTGTATTCTAGAAAATTTGAAAAGATTAAAAAAAATTTAAGTGTGTAAGCAAAAGTGTTTACACCCATGCTAAGCACTTCAACCATTTTTGCATGCTAAATCATCTTTTGCCACTGTTTAATAAACAAAAAACTTTTCAAATATTATAAAATGACATATAAATGCTATAAATAAAATTTTAGGAGATATTGCTGCAATAAAATTTTCAAATTTATGTAAATCTGTAAAATTTGATTTTTGAATAATTTACATAACTTGAAGTTTAGGTGATTGCATAGATAAAATATGATCATTACGGATTGTGGTTTCAAAAAAGTTCCTAATAGAGCCTTATAAAATAAAATATATTTTTATTTACACATTTATTAACAAATGAACAAAACATAACAGTTTTCAATAGTTTTTAATTGTGTCTTTTGAACAAACACATCATCTGATTAATCTAAAAAAGTAAATAAAATTAAAATAAGTAAAAAATAAACCACATTTATTAACTGGAAATCAATTTATTTATACATAATAACAAAAAATATATATAAAGAAAAGTTTTAAATGTTGATATCTTCAATATAAGTATAATTAAATAAATTGACATCTTCAATATGAGTATAATTAAAGTTGACCTCTTCAATATGAGTATAATTAAATAAATGTTTTAAATAAAACTTTTTTTTATCGATTTATACCTATATGTTAAAAACATATTTATTTTTATCGTAAAAATAAATATATTTATAACAAATAGGTATAAATCCATAAAAAAAAGTTTTATTTTTAAATATTTATATAAAAAAAGTTTTATTTACAAAAAAAATTTAACAACATCTGCATCATCAATTAACAATTGGTAGATTAACCAACTACAAAAACACTAATTATAGATGTAGCATATTATTTTCCTATCGCTCCCTATCCTCATTTTTACTTTCTACAGGATCCGCACTCCCTACTTAAAAAAAAAAGAAAGAAAAGAAATTAAGCTTTAAATCTGTATTCTTATCTCTATTTCAAGTAACTTTAAGGGTACCACAAGGTTCTATCTTTGCTCCTGTTTTGTTTCTTATCTACAACAACGATCTTAATGATATCTAAAATGGGTCTATTTGCTGACGACTCAGCTTTATACTCTTGTCTTGATAAAAAATCTTTTTGATTGCTTAGAACAAGCAGCCAATTTTAAATCTGAACTCTCTTATGTAACAGCCCAAGGCTTGCTGTAGCTTATGTAGATTTAAATTCTGTACTTAAAATCTACAATTTTGGTTAGACAACGAAACTCGTTTATTTACTGCAAAAAAATATTGCAATATTGTTGGCATTGCTATATTGATGAATAACAACCCTCTTACTCTCAGACAAAGTCTAAAAGCACATTGTAAATTGAATTAGACCTGTTTTATCTGTCAATCATGAGCCACTCTCCGATTGTTGTAAGGTTGCATTTCTTTCTTTTTTCTACAAATACAATCATGGTCAATACTCAAATGAGCTATCATCTCTATAATGATAAACCAAAACTCATTTTTGCTTGACTTTTAATTCAACAAGTTGCATCCTTTCAATGTATCTGTCCCTTCATACTATAAAAACTTTTATTAAACCAGTTTTTTTCCTTGAACATCAAAAAAATTTTATAACTCTTACCCATCTTCATGTTTTCCTTTTTTATACAGCTTTCAACTTTTTAGGTTTTTAGTTATACGTTTCATAGTATTTTAACTTATTCTCTATTTTAAAGTAACTCATAACTTAATAGTGGTTGCTTGCAATCTTGTTGGAAGTAAATTAGAGTTTAAAAATATATAAATGTATACCAGTATTTCATAAACAATAAATGAAGCATAAAATTATAATATATTAAATCTTAAATCTTATAATTTTACCAAGGCTGGGACTGGGTTTGCAAAAAATCTCATTTTTAGTCGGGCTGGGGCCCCAACCATTTGCTACACTCTGTGTGCACTATAGGATGTGGGCCCTATTTTCATCTCAATAGCATACAAACGCTTCATA